TGGTTGCATATACATGCAAATATATATGTGCAAATAGTTTTTTACATCGACGGGCATGAATACAAAGACTAAGGCAAGACCACACAACAGGCGGGTCCCATTTAAGTCAGTCCTGCTGATATTAATAAAATGCAATATTTACCTGATTTCTACCCATGTGTCAGCACTTTTAATGAGCAATGACAGTCCAGGAATTTAACTACTAAAACACATCTCAACAAAAGACCATTACATCGACTCATCATTGTGGAGCATGTTCCCAGTGGCGGCCATGTTCAAAGGATCCCACCCGTGGGCCACACACTGAGCCCTGAATAAACCCAAACCGCACCACAGGCCGTGTGTTGAGTAGCCCTGACCTAGAACAAACATTAATTCTGTTACAATGTCTACTGGCAAGTAAAAAAATAAAAAGGAATGAAATAAAATAAAAATAAAGAGAGGCTGGCAGGAAATCAGTGACCTGAGGTGATAAGGAGGAAAAAAAAAAGAGACTAGTGAAAACTAGTGTATGAAAATAAAAACTGCAAATTTAATGAGAAGCCAGAGAAGGATTTAACTTTACACTGGAGACATCTCAAGTGAAAAGCCCTTTAAAAACATTTTCCTGGGACCCATTAAATTCATCAGAAATGGAATGACGACAGGAGGTATGAACAATATTTGGCTGTTTAAGAGTTCAGAGGACGGTGCTGTCAACTTATAAATCATGTGTTGTATATAAACATTTCTCTGGATGGAATTTACAAAGCAGTTTAAGGAGATAGGTACTCAAGTGCCTTGAAATTCAATAGTATTCAGTGGCCTAACAGGCTTCTTTGGGAAGAGAGTCTGGGATTTTCAAAGACATCTCAGTATTAAGAGATGAAGTATTTTAAAAACCCAGAAACTCAGGGGGTAGCTGAGTGAGTCCATACAGGATAAACTTTAAAAAAACCACAACAAATGGTCTGGTAGCACTTTATAGACTAACAAAACATGTAGATGCTATCATGAGCTTTCGTGGGCATAGCCCACTTCTTCAGATGACCGGAGTTTTAAAAACCCAGTTTGACAAAGGTGCTATTTTTGCATTTCTCAGTTTGATCAATGAAAATCAATGTTACTTACTCGCAAACTCTCAGTGCTCCCATGTTTAGGTTTCAAATGAGAGAGAAATAGTAGCGCAAAACCAACTGTTTTCTTGTTTGTAAACAAAGTTATGGAAACATTCTTTGATTGTAAAATGTTTCTATGAAACCTGAGACCAGTTTTGGGCCATATCTTAATTGACAGCATGCCTTTAGCAGAAAAATATTTTGTTTTGGTTTTTAACTATGTACATTTCAGAACCACAGGGAAGTAGATGTGACCATTTTAATGTATAATTAGCCCAGGATTTCAACAAAATTTGAGACAATTAAGGCCTGAGCCCTATTTTGCGTAGCACTGTGCACTCTGAACTCACACTGGCTTCAATGAGTTAAGCCTGGTGAACCATCACCAGCCTGGGCCCCAAAATGCTGAGAAACATGAGCTCTAGACTTTCCTATTGTCTCTGCCCCTGTAAATGAAACAACCACTATAAACATAATAGTGGATGAACTAATCCATTTTGAAATCCTGTTTACACTCCCTCATACATTTGTCTTTAGCAAAATGTATTCAGGCTTCACTACAACCAAGGTGAGGGGTTTATGTATGTGCACATTTTGTGTTTTGTTTTGGGTTGGTTTGTTTTTTAAGTTTCACCAAAGTCAGCTTATAAGCTAGTTTATGTGAGGTCACTTGGTCTGGCAGAAAAGCCACAAAGTCTACAGCTCACATTTCTCAGAAACTGGAGGCTGCAATGCATTCATTTTGTTAAGTTGCAGAATTAACAGCATGTTTAAACAACTATCCATTCCTTTCCTCTTTTGAAATCTCACAAAGTCACCAAGAGGTTATTTCCCCACTCTACCTCCCCCCGCCCCCCAAAAAAAATGCTGAGTGGCTCATTTTACATCTGAAAAACTTATGCCCCAAATTTGCTGCTTATATTTAAGTTTACATTACACCAGTAACTTATCAATGCTAACGGATACTCCCACACAAACATAAACCAGGTGATCTCATAACTTTACACTATTATAATAAAACCAGAATGGCCCAATTAATATTGGGCTAGGCTAGGCATAGTAAAAAAAACACAAAGACAACCCCAGAGAGTGGGAAGACAATCATTGTGACCTCTGCCTAACCTCATCTCTTCCTGTTTCACATCATGGCTCATCTAAGCTACACTATAAATTCCTCTACACAGGGACTTTTGTTCATTTGTCAGTGCCAGGCACACCTATGGTGCCAAATTAAAATTTGCTCCCTGCCCCAAAGTACATGAATCTGCACACGCAACAGAAATGCAGACACACAAAAATAAGCACCCTTTCCATGTCTCAAGAGTACAGAACTTGTTATTTTCCCTGAAAGTTGCCACACCACCCATCCGCTTCTTTGTCCACACCATAGCCAATCCAGTTTGAACTCCTATCATCGAGTGCATCCCATTAACAGCTAGCTGCTCTGTCAGAAAGAAGAGACCACCAAAAAAACACATAAAAGGGTTTACACTCAGGTGCTCCATTCTCTCCCATGTGAAATGCAGAGGGGAAGACGCTGCAATGATTAGCTCTCCCAACAAGGTCTTTGGGTGGAAGGCACTGGGAAAGCACCAACCAGTTCTTGCCCACTGAATTCCCTCACAGCAGAATCCTGCTGCTGGCAGCTTCCTTGGACACTTAATTCTCTTCCATCTGGTCTCTCCTAAATTCGGTTCCAATCCCATAAACATTTACTACCCTTTTATAAGCAGAGAGAACAGTTGCACAGACTGACTCAGTGTCTGAAATTCACTTGTGCTGGACTGCAACAAGCCTAGTCACTCAATGCACTATTTTTGCTCACATTTTTGTTTACTGGGGATGTCAAGTCATTTTTTATGAATGTGTAACTGCTGAAATTTTCTGAGGCAGTAGGGGTGAGGTGAGCCAGTACACACAGGGAGCCGGCTTAAAAGCTGGCCCTGCATGCACCAACTCCCACTTGTTCTGCTCTCCCCCCCCCCCCCCCCGTCCCCCATGCTGCTGCCTCCAATTCAGAGGCAGCAGCAGGGGACAGGAGGGGCAGTAGTCTTGTGTGTTACAATAAGGGTTATCCAATGCTCCCAGGCTCATCGGTTAACCATTTAAATGGATGCACTATCACATCCCTATTGTTTACTAGCTAAAATTAAAAGGGGAAGGGGTTGACACATTTGAGACTTTTCTGCCCAAAATACCACCACATTTTCTCCTGTAGCCAACAGCATGTAACTGTTTAAAAATGTACAGTTGTCACATTTGATCTGCTCTCTGAGAGGTGGGGAGGAGGAGTCTATTTACTGAAAAAAGTAATAAAATCAAAACTGGATATTCTGCACTCCTTTCATTTCAGTGACTCACGAGCAATCCTATAGAACACTGGGAGCACAAGTGAGGGGGAAAAGCAGTAATACAGAAACTTAAGTTTCCACAGTAAAACTGACATACCCTTTCAGTCCTGTGAATTAATCAGTAAGACTTAAGATTTCACTTCCTTATGTTTCTAACCACCGAGATTATTAGAAGATTATCAGAACTGAAGTAATGTTAACCATCTAATGCAATTTTCACCACAATTGCAATCTAGTTTGTGGGGTGGGGTTTTTGGTTTTTTGCACTTTAGTTAACAGAGAAAATGGAATCTCGTGTGTTTCCACTTTCAGAATTTCACATTAACCAAATTCTGCAATATGTGAGCAGCAAAAGCCACAAAATAAAGTTTTTTAAATACTATACTCTCATATTTTACAAAAGTGTATATCAGGTCCCAAATACTCTGCCCAGCCTTAACTGTGACACACACTGGCAATTCTACCCCTCTGCAAATGACAGTAGTAAAATGACTGAACCCTGACCAGAGCTACTCGCATGGTATTATGCGTCACTGTACATTTTGCCAGTACAGAGATAACCAACAAGGTCTCTATTCTGCAGCCACAAAAGTTTGGATTCTGTTAAAACATGAATGTATCTTACTATCTTCGCTGTGCATTTAAAAATAAATATGAGAGAGAGATTCAAGTATGAACTCCACTCACCATTTCAATTTTAAATTAATGGAGATTGCCTATCTCCTAGAACTGGAAGGGGGCTTGAAAGGTCATCAAGTCCAGTCCCCTGCCTTCACAGCAGGACCAAGTACCATCCCTGACAAATTTTTGCCCCAAATCCCTAAATGGCCCCTGCAAGGATTGAACTCACAACCCTGGGTTTAGCAGGCCAATGCTCAAGCCACTGAGCTATCCCTACTAATTCTTCAGAAATAATTAGTAACTCCCACCACCAAAATCACAAGTAACTTCACTTGGGTATCTTAACCTAAGGATATTAAAATGTGATTATCTGGCTAATTGTATAGTCGATACAATTTGTATCGATAGTCGGTAAGCGCCGCTCTGCAGATTTGCAGCAGGGGCTCCAGGAGCTGACTCAAGCCAGGACTGAGCAGTCCTGGCTCATCCCAGCTCCAGAGCCACCTGCGCTATGGCTCTGCATTTTATGAGCCGCTGGGCTCTTACTACATTTAAAATGCAGAGGCTCAGCGATCAGCGTCCCAGATAGCGCTCAAACCGACAGCCTGGGTCACTGCGAACAGAGATTGCTCCAGCACTAGCCCCTGTTCATGGCAGCCAGGGCTGGCTGCTGCCAACAGAGACTGCTCTG